TCCCCGAGCATTCGTTTTGCATCGGTTTTCGTTCATTTTTGGCAGGTACCTCTTAAGACATATTCGTCCTCCCACCTGTGCTCAGGATTCAATAGATGTCTATCTCCCAAGATACAATGAGCAATGTCTTGCACTAGCAGCACTACCATTGCAAGCCTAGCGAACTTCGCTGTATATGCACTCTCTTTATAGAAAAATTAGACTCAGGAAACTATGAAAAATAAATGCAAAGATGAAGAAAAAATGACGAATACTCTATCCAAATTGAAGTGAGAGAGATGGAATTTATAGATTCTTCCGTGACTCTTCAGAAATGTTGTGACCCTTTAAAAAGACACACTCTTCCATCTCAAGAGACACAACCATTTGAGTAAATTTTAATTCAAATTTTCTAACAATCCCCCACATAAATGAAATTTATGGAAAGGACATGCAACAGCATGTAGACAAAGAGATGGTACATTAACAAAATATCATCCATCAGGATAAGTAGCTTTTGGCTTTGAACCTTCCCTAGTGAAAGCCTATCGGACTTACTAGCTAATCAGTGGACATAATGTCTTGAACTATTCAGCCATTTGTGTAAGCGAAGACAATAGAATTCACACAGAATATCTCCAAACACAGCTTAGTTCTCACGGTTGTGCCCGTTTTGGCCTTGGGCATGTCCTGGTATTTCATAAGTGCTTTAGAAAATTTAGCCTTATTAATTCTCATAGAAGTGGCCCCTTCACACTCATATAGGTGATCCTTATTTCGAGTCTCTAAAATACTCCTCTTGAAAGATACCCCTCTAGGGTTTTCAAGACATAAGTGATCATTAAAAGCATAACTTACCCCTAAGTCTTCTACATACAACACATGTTGCAGACATTACTCTCATCATAGGAATGGATAGAAGATAAACTCCTTTAGTGATTTCTGGCGAGCCACACATAACTTAGTTATCCCTTTGAACTTAGTTCTTGGGATCTCCAGTCATCTAAGTAGGGTTACCATTATGATGACTATGATGTAATAGGCTTTAATCATATTTCCCTCGATGAACTTTCCCTTATTTGCTCTCTGGTCAAACTTTTTGTTTAGCAGCCGCTATTTTTCGTTTGACCTTCTCAGTTATATATCATTGAGTAGATAGCGGATCCATTATATTATCTTTAGACAATATTCACAATTGAAAGCAAATGTCCTACAGTATTAAGTCTTTGATTTCATCGAGACTTACTGTTACTCTATGTCACTCCCATTTTCAAATTTAAATAATAAACATAGAGTTGTTCCTTAGAAGTTAATGAAACCATTTTTGCTTCTACTCCAACTTTGTCCTATAGAAAGAATTGAGATTCTTCGTAAACCTATTATCAGAACAGTTACTTTAGTAAAATCCTCTAAGCACCCCTACATTTTAAAACTTAATTTCTCTTGCTGATGTATAATTACTCAAAAATATTAATACACCCCCACAATTCTGAGGTGAATCAGAATATATCATTAATTGGCATGCTTGATCTAAATAACAGATATAAATTGCTTTGTGAATATAATCACAATACTGTAAGTTCCATGCTCGTTGAGCATTGACTGTTTGCAAAATAGTGTAGACACCCCATTTTTGACCGGCCTTAAGACTCAGACGTCACCGATTGAGCGCTTGGTGATGTTGCATAATGTGCTTGTTCAGAAGTTTTAGAGTCACGGTCGTGAGCCCTGCCTCCGGACTTCCGAACCCTCTTCTGTGCCTTGTCTCGGTTTGCGAACCAGACTCGGTTTTCTCTGTTTCTTTTCCTGAGGGGAGGGAGAGGTCCAGTAGACCATCTCTCAATGTCCGTAGGCTACATTTGGTGGCCGTAGGCCATTTTTCCCATTTCAGAGTCCGGTTTCCGGTTTTCGGAGCCGTCAGGCCGTGTGCCTCGGTTCGGGACCGCTTAACCATCTCCTATTGCTCTAATTTTTGGCATACTTCCTATTTGCTCCCTTTTGATGGACACTGGGGACTGAGAAGCCCACTTCGTGGCCGAACGCCACTTTCGGTGCTTAACAGCCCATTTTCGGGACCTCGAACTGCGCGTTTTGGCCCCCGAACATTCATTTTGCAACGGTTTTCGTTTATTTTGGGCAGGTACCTCTGTTTTATCACTAGGAAGGTCACTGAAGGGTGGGAGGCCAGCAATTGCCCGAACATTCATTTTGCAACGGTTTTCGTTCATTTTTGGCAGGTACCTCTGTTTTATCACCGAAGAGGTCACTGAAGGGTGAGAGGCCAGTAATTGTTGCCGCAACCAGTTATACATCCTCCGACGCCCTCCGGCGCCCGTTTTTCGCACTTCCGGGCTAATGTTGAACCCCTTGGACCATTTTTCTTGAACTTTGAACCACATATTTGTGATGTACACACATGAGAGGACCCTAAAAGTTCATGGCCGGCTAGTAATTCCACTTGACCCTTTTGAACCCCTCTTTCCGAGCTAATGTTGAACCCCTTGGACCCAATTTCTTGGATTTTAAACCACAGGGTTGTGTTGTACACACAT